TTCTTTGACCTCAACGTGCCACCTTCTTCTGATTTCGCTGCTAAAAGTGTGTAGTCGTGAGGTTCAACTTCGAGTTTGCCGTCTTTAAATGTCTCGATGTCGCAAACAATTATTTCCTTCTGCGATTTCTTCGTTGAACCGCCCAAAGAAAGATTTGATTCTTTTGTCTCAGCCGCCCGAGTAGCCACCAAATTTTTTTCTTTCCTGTCTTTAGATAAAAGTTCATCAACGGTTTTATTGACAACGTAATGCTTATATTTGTTAGGAAATAATGGTTTTATTTTTATATCAGAAGAAAACCAGCTGTGTCGTGTTTTTTCATCTGTGAATAAATTCGCATCTTCAAGAACGAGCTCGCTTTGAGGAACTTTTTTCTTCGGCGATTTAATAACACCAGCGTTCTCTTCAAACTCCATTTTCATTTCTCCCGACCGTGGCAAAGTGCCAACAGCAACAGTTTCCGAATGAGTTTGAACGACGGGTACCTGAATTTGCAGTTCTCCAGCGCTCCGACTTTTTTCAATGTTTGCGCTGATCCTCTTACTTTTCTTTGGAGCTGTTTTGTCGTAGAATATTTCGTTCTCCTCAACAATGTGTTCCTCTAGAACGTGACGTTTCTGTTTCAACTCATGACGGAGTGACCCGTACCCTTCGGGGTGTTCCATCATCGTCACGGTGATTTGCGGGTTTGTGACCTGCAAATGTTGCTGCCTCATCAAACTGTCACCAGTTGATAGAGTGTTGGTCTGGGAAGCACTCAAAGTGGATGAAGGTATGGCTTCTTTGTAATTTTTTTCAACCACCGTCATTTCCTTAACGTCAATAATTTCATTTTTTTTAAGAACTGGCAAGCCGTAATGTCTCTTCCACTCAGGATTCTCTAGAACATTCTCCAGTCTATGCTCTTCAGTGTATTTTGTTTGCGATTCTACTTTTCCAGCTAGAGATTTACGATACTGCGACTCTATATAATTAAACTCCTCAACACTTATTTCTTTACTAGTCTGAATTTCAGCTATTCCTTTAAATTCAGCTTCGAGAAGCGCTCGAACGTCATCAGCGGTAGCTATCCTGATGGTTTCTCTAGATTTCAACTCTTCTAGATTAATAGTTTTAGTTTGTCTCGTGCGAGTTTCATCAAAGTCAGCATGTTGGGTTCGTTCCTGAGACGTCGATTGAAATTCTCCTTCAGTTCTGAAGTCGGTTTTGAACCCGGCTTCTGAGAAATAGTGGCCGTTAACCGGGCCTCCACTCATTGTCAAGAGTTAGCCTAAAAACGTATGAATCAATGTCTATCAGACCTTGTATGGTATGGTTGTATATCCAGTTTAGGTGAAGTTTGAGATAAGTGTGCTTTTGTAGACTTTAAGATAAAACTGTTGTGAAGTTTTTTCTCTTGTTATCTTCTAACTAGACGCCAAATCTCTGTGTGGAAATATTTTAAAATTATGTTCATTTTAAAATGAAGTTATAAATATCTATAACATCATTTTATTTATAATAAAGTTTACTATGAATGATCAAGAATATTGAATAACAATTATTATTCTTCGTATTGTTATGAAAATAAAATAATAATAATAATACAAGCCACACACAGGCACAACAATAAGAAAACTGAAGACTCGAATAACGTAAGAAATGGATGGATGGATGTGTATGTAATTAAAAACACATGTGTACACTCGTTTGGTTGGTTGAGTTTTGTATGGAAAGTATGTTTGTTTATGTGTTTGTTTGTTTGTGTGTGTGTGTGTTTGTGTGTGAGTTTGTTTGTTTGAAGAAAATAATTAAACCATTGGGTAACGTTTAATTCTATCTAACCCAAAAAATAATGCACTAAAAACTAAAACAACAACAACAACAACAATAATACTAACTAAAATAGTGATAATAATAATAACAAAATTAGAAGACAATTTATTTTAGCTAGCAGTCAAACCGTTGATGACTTAATCTCAGAGAGTTAGGAATTTGAAAAATTTTATTGGTGGAATTTTTTGGCAAAATCGTTGTCTTGTGATCACATAATATGATGAAACACAAACACCAACACACAGACACACACACAGACACACAGACACACACACAAACATTCATAAACATCCAACCAGTTGAACGAAAAATTAGAAATTTTAAATAACTAACTACTTTAAAAACAAATATTTAGAAAATTAAGGGTATTTCATTGAATTAAAATAAATTATAGCTAAGAGAAATTAAAAAATGAAAATAGAAATAATTTTATAGAAATAATAATTAAATATTCATTAAGTCAAAACAGCGATAAGATGTAACCATGAAGAATTAAATTTGAAATATATAAAACCAAACACACACACACACACACACACACAACACACAAACACACACACACATACAGCATAAATACACGTTAACAAACAAACATACACAAATACACCCAAGCAAATATACAAACATATACATACTTGAAAATACCCATCCGTTTGCGATAAAGCGTACGCACAAACGCACATTCTCACACATACATACACACTCACACCCATACACACACATACAAACAAACACACATACAAACAAACACACATACATACATATGAACTTTCATTAAAGTTTGGATTGGATAATAGATGCTCATTATATTTAGCGTCAGAGTCTGTATTACTAAGGTCTGGTTTTTACATTTTTTGTATGTATGTATGTATGTATGTATGTATGTATGTATGTATGTATGTATGTATGTATGTATGTATGTATGTATGTGTGTTTTGTATGTTGTTTGTGTGTTTGTATGTCTATATGATGTAGGTGTGGCTGTGTACGTGTGTGTGTGTGTGTGTACGTGTGTGTGTGTGTGAGCATGTGCGTGAATGTATGTGTGCATGTGCACTTGTTTTTATTCTGAACTTTTTTAATAATTCTAGGTAGAAAAACATTATCTTCGAATCTTCGACATTTTAAAAATGTTTTAATGGTTAATAATAATAATAACAACAACAACAACAATAACAACAACAACAACAGTAATAACATCTTTAGATAGAATCTTTGAAAGCATCTTGATTTTCTAGCTTTACTTAATATAAATATTTATAGAATAATCTCGAGTAGTTGTTATTATTATTATAGTTATTTTTTTTTAGAAGTTATAAAAAAATCGCTGCCGAATAAATAGCACAAAAAGTTACTACTACTACTACTTCTGCTGCTACCACTACTACTACTGCTGCCTCAGCTACAACTACTTCTACTACTACTACGGCTGCTGCTGCTACTGCTACTACTACTGCTGTTGCTACTACTGCTACTGCTATTACTACTACTACTACTACTGCTGTTACTACTTCTACTACTGCTGCTACTGCAGCTACTACTACTACTACTAATTTTACTAATATATATGGCAATACTTCTAGTATTTTTCAAATATTATTGTTGCATTTTTTTTGACGATCCATTAAATATACTAACGTATCATTATTATTAAATTATAATGTATTATTATTATTTTTATTATTATTAAATTATTATGTACAAATATTATTATTATTAAATTATTTTAATATTAATAAAAATGAGAAGTTATAGCAGTAATTGTGATTGTAGTACTATGACGAAAATTTAAAATAATTCATCTCTCAATGATTTTATACATGCTAAAAAATTTATTCCTTCGCATTTGTAAACATTACAAAACTTGGAAAGATCCAGGAATGGAAAGGAATATATCAGAAAGCAGGAGAAAACACTAAAAATCATTCATTTATTAAATCGGTTTATTAAAAATATCAGATTATATTCTAATATATTGAAATGTTATATGATAGACACAAGAATGTACCAAATAAATACACCAGTTAACGCCAAATAATTCCTATTTAAATAAAAAATAGCCCAAGTTGAACCTAATAAATTCGAGAATACATTGATGAATAACCGAAAATTATATCCGAAATAGTACAAAAAATACAAAACTTACATTTTTCTGTAGCTTTTAATTCAGAGTGTATGAGATTTGCAACAACAACAACAACAACAGCCAACCAAACAAGCATCTATCTAACTAACACTGAATATGTGAAAATATAGTTTTAAGATTATACAACCCCACCAAACACACGTACATCCATCCATCTAACCAAAACAACAACAATATATTTAATATTATTACATCTCTCGCTTTCTTTATGGTCTTCACTCTCTCTCTCACTCTCTCTTTTTATTTCTCTTTCTCTTTCTGGCTTCTTAATTCTTTCTTTTTTGTCTTTTTACTTCTTTTATTTACTTCTTCTCTATAAAAGTCTGTCTCTATAGCATTGTCTTTTCTTTATTTCTTGATCTTTTATTTCTCTCTTTCTCTCTTTTACTCCTATTGTGTTTCTTTCATTCTCTCTCTCTCTTTCTCTCTCTCTTTCATTCACTCTCTTTATCACTATCTTTATTTTGTTCTCTACACTAGTATGAAGACTCGTAAAAGTTCAGCGCTCAGATCAGCATCAGCAACTTAAGTGTATGTAGTGTGTATGTATGTATGTATGTATGTATGTATGTATGTATGTATGTATGTATGTATGTATGTATGTATGTATGTATGTATGTATGTATGTATGTATGTATGTATGTATGTATGTATGTATGTATGTATGTATGTATGTATGTATGTATGTATGTATGTATGTATGTATGTATGTATGTATGTATGTATGTATGTATGTATGTATGTATGTATGTATGTATGTATGTATGTATGTATGTATGTATGTATGTATGTATGTATGTATGTATGTATGTATGTATGTATGTATGTATGTATGTATGTATGTATGTATGTATGTATGTATGTATGTATGTATGTATGTATGTATGTATGTATGTATGTATGTATGTATGTATGTATGTATGTATGTATGTATGTATGTATGTATGTTTTATTTTTTTAAAAATGTTAAAACCAAATCATTGACGAATGACACCAAAAGCCAAGCGTCTGACTAAATTTGATTTTATTTGCTATAACGTCACTCAACCCCGTCGGCATTCAACTCCACATTTTCCAACACACAGACGCGCAAAAACCGCTGCAGGATGCACGAGATATTATTCATAGCAAAAAAATATTCCCTACTATCGCCTGACCTAATACTGATATTTTTGCAAATTCGATTGAAAAACCCGGAGGTGTTACGGTCCATGGGGCCGAGGACCTCGATACAAATCGGTAAAAACTCCATCGAGGGGAGAGCTCCGTCGTACTTTTTGATCTTCTCGTCAGATGCCCTGGTTGCAGCCAAACCGCTTTCTTTGCTAGTAAGCTGCACGTAGCGCTCAGCAAAGGTGCCCGGAATGGTAACGTCCCACGCCAAGCACCTGCCGGCTCTCCAAGGGATCAAGGTACACCCGTCAGGGCGTTTACCGTCGTGCGCCGCAATGCCCGACGGTTCCTTTAAAACCGGAATTGAGGCCTTGGAGAAAAGTCGGCACACAAAATCGTTTATGGCTGAATGTCGCTGCTGGCGACCTCCGCCCAAACGACAAACAAGACCATGATGGCCAAGTTCATCCGCCTCCGCGCCACACCTGCATGTATATCGACTCTGAACGGCCAACCCCAGACGGAAGCCAATGGCTGTCCTGACCGTTTCGTCGTCCAATCTGGTACCCACCGACGTATTGGGCAAAGATCTCAGCCAGCCACAACTCGCCTCGCTGGATACTGCCAGCAAGCGAGCTGAGGTCGCCGAGTCAGGGCTTGAGGAAAGCAACTCTTTGAATGTGCGTTTATATGCTCCCTCCAAAATGTTGCCCTGGGAAAGGTCTGTTGGTTGGATTGGAGTCGGTGGAGTACAGTGTAGGCTGCTAAATTGCCGAAGAAGGGCAGACTGTAGGTCAAGCGTGGCAGATGCGGAAGATTTATAAACAATTGGTGCAAGCTGAACCACGCTTAGTAACCCCAGTCCCCCAAATCGTACCGGCAGCTGAGCCTGAGACCAACCTTTGTCGGTAATATCGACGTTACAAATTGCTGAGAGGGCCACCCGCAGAGCACCCTCAAATTCGCCCAAAATGGCCGCATTAACAAAGTTGGATGTGCGCAAAAAATACATCAATTTCGGCAAACTGAGGGCGCCGCGGATGATTGTCAGCGCGTCGTGGACCGAGAGAAGAGAGACACGTTCGAGGGCAAATCTTAGCTCAAAAAGTTTTTTATTAAAAAACCTGTCCTGATGATCGCCGGCCATCATTGGAGTGCCTAAAAAATTTAATGATGAATGGGGCACTCTGGGGACATTAGCCAGCACGTGTGGCATTTGAAACGTGTCATTTACAAGTAGTTCACACTTGTTTGTGTTTAATTCAAGACCAATGATGGAAGCGCCGACCCTCAGCGACAGGAAGTCGTCCGCTAAGATGTTACCCTCTGCGGCCAAGCTGACATCGTCCAGGTAGCCACAAACAAACGCCGAGGATGACTTCGTCAACAGCGGGTGAAGGGTTAGAGCAAAAAGCATCGGTCCCAAAGGGTCGCCTTGCTGTACGCCCTTGCACGATTCAACCACCCAGGCGTCGTAACCAAGAGAAGAGACTCGGCCATATGCGGAATGACAAAAATTATAAATTTGAGGACAGTGCTGCTTAACTGCCTCTAACATTGAGTCTCTTCTCAGGGTGTTGAAAGCGTTCTTGAAATCAATCTTCAAGAATCCCCACCGTTTTGGAAGTGCTGAAATCAGTTCACGTACGGCGTGGACGGCCGCCTCAGCACCACCTTTCACACCGACGCCCAATTGTATAGGATAGAGTTTGGCTTTGACCTGTTCCAACACTAGCGCCAGAGCGCACTTACTGGCCAGCCTCCTCCAAAAATTCCCCACCGCGATGGGTCTGATCCCTCCATCTTTTTTGTTTAAAGCCACCAGACGGCCCCCAAAAAAGAAACGGCTAACCGCGGGAGGGCAGACCCCAGATAACAACAAATTTACAAACCGGGTGAGGTTATTTAACAATTCATCGGTGGGCGTCGGACCGGAAAGTAAATCCTTTATGTGCTGAGGCCTCAAGCCATCAAGGCCTCCCGATGAACCATTATTAAACGATTTTAAAGCCGTCAACACCTGGGCTGGTGAAACGCGACCATTGGACGGCTCCTGCGCGGGAAAAGCTCGCCTGTTCAATGGAGCACTGGGATGAATAGCTTTGAGTTTAGCGAGTGTCTCAGGCGAGCTCTCCGCCAGGCCTGCGGGCGAACAAGCAAGTCTGACGGCCGCCGAGAGACTGCCCTGTTCAATCCGAGTGGTTACTGCACTAATCCAACTGTTTGGATTGTGCTTACGCGGTTTGGTGTTGTGGTCAGTGTTGAAGCTTGCCACAATAACTTCGACCTCGGTCGAACTGAATTCGGCCATGTATGTATGTATGTATGTATGTATGTATGCATTTATGTATATTTATATGTTTGTTTGTATGCTTGTTTGTTTGTAGGTATGTGTGTATTTATGTATTTGTGTGTGTGTGTGTGTGTGTGTGTGTGTGTGTGTGTAGGATTACACATTAAAGGTGAGCGGGAATTGAAATTTGTTCCCAACTTGCTCCCATTCTTGTTTTCTCAATCCCGATTCCCTCCCGCGAACGTTCCAGAAAAATCCCATTCCCTTGTTTTCTTTAACTCATTCCCTTGTTTTCCATCTCATTCCTTCCGGTTTTCCATTTGAATTATGCAGAGCTATGTAGATTTATATAGTGTTATATAAGGTTATATATAGTTGTATTGTTATACAGGGTTATGTAAAGTTATATAGAGTTATATAAAGTGATATTGGTTTATACTGAGTTATAAATACTTTTTTAGAGTTATTCTCTACTGCATGTTCATTATAAAGACAGGAAAAAAAGAGAGAGACAAAATAGAGAGAGAGAGAGAAAGAGAGAGAAAGAGAGAGAAAGAGGGAGGGAGGGAGGGAACGAGAGAGAATGAAAAACAGAAAAAAAATAGTGAGAAAAAACTATAATATTAATATAATTATTTTATTTTATTCATAGTTATAAAATCTAAAGCCGAATAATATTAAAAGTATTATTATTTTCACCCCTAAGGCATGATTTTAACAATATGCATAATTTCTGTTTGTATGACTGTTTGTATATTTGTTTGTATGTTAGTTTGTATGTCAGTTTGTATGTTAGTTTGTATGTCAGTTTGTGTGTATGTATTCGTGGTTGTTTGAGTGCGTGTATATGTATGTACGATTGTATTCAGGAGTGTTTTATTTGTATAATTCATTGCATATGGCGGTTTATTATCAATATTATTGTTATAATTATTATTTATATTATTATTATTATGATTATGATTATTTTAATAAAATTATCTAGAGGTGCTATCTAGCTAGTGTGTTGTGTTTTTCCCTATGATGAAGTTGAAGAGGTAGAAGACGAAGAAGATGATAATGATGATGAAAATAATAATAATAATAATAATAATAATAAAATGATGATGATAATGATGATGATAATATAAATAATAGTAATTATTATGATGATGGTGATGGTTATGATTATTATTATTATTATCGATGTTGTTATTTGAACAATGATGTTTTAGAGAGCAATGAATAAGCATTAATTACTAGATTGATGATCTCTTATATTTAAAAATTGAATAAAATTTTATAATATATAATATAAAATTTAAAACATTTAAAAATTGAATTAAATTTTACAATGTATAAATTCTTCTATATAAACATTTGACAAAACTGAATAAGCAAAACGCCATAAAACTCTGAAAAGTTAAAAATTTTATTTTCATTCGAAAGACGAAGGGAGCGTTTTATGAATACTGGCCTACCTTCTTTCTCACTGTATGTCTGTCTGTTGCTTTCTCTATTTCTTTCTCTTTCTCTCTCACCCACTCTACTTATATCTCTTTCTGTTATTATCATCAGGGTTTTATTCTTTAAAAAATGAGTAAATTGATCAAATTGAAAATGATTGAATCTGTTTTTTGGTCAAAAATTTGTCGAAACAAAAATGTAATCGACTACATATACGATGGAATAGACATACAGAATAGGCATGAAAAAAAATGTGTATGTGTCTGTGTGTCTGTGTGTGTTTGTATGTGTGTGTTTGTATGGCGTGTGCGTGTGTATGATGCTTGGCATGTGTGTGTGTGGTGTGTTTGTGTGTGTAAGCATGTGTGTAAGCATGAAAATAATTAGTGTTTAAAGTGAAATAGTAAAGGTAGATGCAAAAAGATCTGTTCTAAATGACTCGACATAATAAATGTGATCATACTCACATGGGCGTGAAAGCATGTAGGATAAATACATAATTATAAGGAAATGTATGTGTGTGTACGTGTGTGTGTGTGTATCTGTGTGTGTGTGTATCTATGTGTGTGTGTGTGAGCGTGTTTGTGTGCGTGTGGATTACGATAATGATGATGTTTGATGGTTTTTTGATAGCAATAATCTTTCAACTACCGAGTCCTATCTGTTAAGTTGCTAGTAGCGTAGTTGTAAAAGTGGTTGTAGAAAAAGTTGTAGTAACAGCAGCCGCTGCAGAAGCAGACACAGTAGCAGACGCCGAAGCAGTGGCCGTAGAAGTGCTTGTAGTAGTAGCAGCAGTGTAGAAATTATAGTAGATAAGGATACCTACATGATAAAAAATTCCCTAGATTGTTGTTGTGGTTACAAGATTAAAAGTTACTTGTTGATTTAAAGTGGTTTGATGTTGATAGTGTTGTTGTTGCTGTTGTTGTTGATGTTGTTGTTGTTGTTGATGTTGTTTTGGTCCATTTCGTTTCGTTTTGACTTTGCGAAGTTCAAATGTAACTCATGAACATGAAAGCATTCTTGACGATAAGAAGTTACATCATTACGATTATATACTCTATTGTCTCTACTACTACTACTACTACTACTACAAATACTACTACTACTACTACTACTGCTGCTGCTACTACTACTGCTGCTGCTGCTACTACTACTGCTACTGCTACTACTGCTGGTGCTACTACTACTACAATCTTTTACTACTACACAATATAATCAGGAAGAGAAATCTGTTTAAATCGTTAAGAGGAACTGTTGTCGAGAATTTGATACAGTTTGTAAACAGTAGATTTGTTTGTTTGTATGTGTTTGTGCAGGTTTGTATACATGCGTGTGTGTGTGTATGAGTGTGTATGCATGTGCATGTGTGTGTACATGTATGCATGTTTGTGTGTACGTGTTTGTATGTGTTTTTCTATCTATTGTATGCATGTAAGTATGTATGTTAACGATATGAATATAATTTATCAATGCAAAATTTTCAAAAATTATCAACAATTTCAGAAGTAGTAGAAGTAGTAGCAGCAGGAGCGGCAGTAGTAGTAGCAGAGGTAGTAGTAGTAGTAGTAGTAGTAGTGGTAGTAGCAGTAATAATATTATTATTATTATTTATGCCATCATAATAATTACCATAATAATTATTCATTCTTATTGGTATAATTACAAGCTAATTGATCCAATCGGTAGCATCAAACATTTCCATCATAAAATCAATTAATTCTCATTACAAACGTAGCACATGCACACACGAATACACACACACAGACACACACACACAAGAATACACACACACACACATACACACACGTAAACATACAACCGGGCGTTCTACTAAAATTCCATTTAATAAAATTCAGAAAGAGTGATTCACTACATAACACACATATCAACATAAAGAAACGTTATAAAACACTCCAAAAAACCACACACATACACAAACACACACACACACAATTGCTCGCGCATACACTGAAAAACACTCCTTCACAAACACACACACACGCACGCACGCAACACAAATTTAGTCTCAAGAGGGCCACAGTA